CAGCCAGCTCCCAAATAACAACACGGAAGCTTATTACTAATTATGAAAGCTAGGCCTTAGCTGGCTTAGGCTTGTCCCATTGGCTCTTATAACTTAAATTAACCCATTTATATTAACCCATTTCTATTAATCTGTGTTTTGCCTCATGGCTTTTTACCTTCTTTCATCTCGCACCTCCTGTTTCCTCTCCTTCTGGCTGGCGACTCCACCCTTCTTCTGAAAGTCCTCTCTGTCCCTGGAAGTCCTGCCTAACTTCTTCCTGTCCAGCTCTTTACTAAACCAGTCACAGTGACACATCTTCACACAGTATGCAGGTATCCCCCACAACAGAGGCCGGGTGCCCCGGGAGGGTGGGAACCAGGGCAGTGGCTGCCTATGAGTAAGAATAGTTCTCAACCATGGCTGTACTGAAGGCACACAGGGTGGGGTCCCATTCCACAGCAGCGACTCCGGTCTCCAGAGCTGGCCTGGCTCCATGCGGTGGCCACTGTAGCTAGTGCTGAGGAGCTCAGAATGCAGCATCACAGAGTTCCAGAAAGAAGAAAGGAGGGGCAGGCTGGTAGAAATGTGCTGCGGAGGGTGGTGGGGTGCAGGGCTCTGAGGAGGAAACGTGGAGATGGGGCACTGGCCAAGAGGGAAGTGGGGCTCCGAGATGTGCAGCACCCCTGAGAAAGTTGGGAGGGGTACAATGAGCAGACAGCTGGTGAATCCCTCTTGTATTCCAGCCGCCCAAATCGAAGGAAATGCTGCTTTCAGAACTTCGCTTCGTGTTTGGGGCAGAGGCCCCCTGAAAGGCCGAAATGGAGTACTCAGGGGCTATTTCTGTGCCCCAGGGGTGACATCAGGATTGGGTTGCCTGGAGGATATGGGGTGTCTTCCTTGGCTAAGGACCTCTTCTGGAAAACAAGGATGGGGGAAACAGCGTTAAGCCAAAGCAAGCAAAGCCTGTTGGGCACCATGCCCACACGAGGCTCTTTCTGACGATATGAGACAACGTGTGATCTGGAACGGCATTTCCCGAAGGACATTCTCTGGGATGTTAATGGGACACTCGTGGGGTCAGGGCAGCCATCGCAGGTTACCCAAAGTGGGGGAAGCATTGGGTGAGAGAGGGTTCAACAGATCGATGCACTGCAAGACTTTTTCAGAGCGTTTAATCTGACAATGTTTCAAGACTCACCAAGAGGTTCAATATTTGAGGAGGATTCATTCCAAGACCCAAGTATACCAAAATCTGAGGGTGCTCAAGTCCCTTACATAAAGTTGTGTGTGTGCATATAATGGGTGCACGTCCTTCTATACTTTTTTTATTTTTTAGTTATTTATTTTTTTGGGTTTTTCAAGACAGGGTCTCTCTCTGTGGCCTTGTCTGTCCTGGATCTCTTGCTGTAGACCAGGCTGGCCTGGAACTCGCAGAGATCCACCTGCCTCTGCCTCCCAAGTGCTGGGATTAAAGGCACGAGGCCACCACCACTTTACCATACTTTAAAACACCTCTAGATTACCTGTAATACTGCATGAAACCTAAGTGTCAGGGAATCACTTGTTATACTGCAGTGGAAGAATCGCAGCAAGTCAAGGTGGAGTACTTCTTTTAGCACAGTTATTTCCGTTATTTTCTACTTGAAGCTGAATGCTCTCCTGGACATGGAGGGGCCAGCTGTACATCCTCAGTGCCTGACCACAGGTCACTTTCATTCCTGACAGGTCTTGAAGAATAAACAACCCATAGAACACGCTCATCAGAAGTCACAGAGTACAAGGCCCTCAGCTCTGAGGTCACAGGACAGGACTTCCAGCACAGGCTCTGTACCCCGGAGCTGTGTGACCTGGGACAAGTTGGTCATGTCTGTCTCTCCTCTGCAGAGTGAAGGCCGGGAATGAAGCTCAGTGGTACACCACACACAGGTATAGTCCCATCTGTAAAATAGGCTAAATAACAGCGCAATCATCGTGAGAGTTCAATACACCTTTGGAACAATGAGGGCATCAGACACACACACACACACACACACCATTAAAGGCGTGGCTTGGGAGATCAGGAGTTTTTCCCACAGTTATGTGACATGTTGGCCTTAACTCTTTCTTCTGAATTACTTAGAAATAAGGCTCAGATGGTGCTCAGAACCTGTAACCGGATGAGACGGGGACTGAAACACATTCTGTTCCGTTCCCGCTGCCGGAGGAAGCACAGGGGAGGTTGGTTTCTTGGAGAGGATGGGGGTGCGCGGCAGCTTGCCCTGCCTTCGTGTCCGGCAGTGTGAGTGGGGGCACACAGGAAAGCTCCCAGGCAGGCGTGCAGAGCTTGGCCCAGGGCCCGGGCTGCCTTCCGGGGGTGACCGCTGCGAGGAAGGGCCTTCTAGAAAACCTCCTGGGGCCGCCTGGGGCTGACGTCAGCGCCTCCGGACTGCTGGGGCTTCCAGGGCTGCAGCTAGGGGAAAGGACGTGTCTCCCCGCGTGGTCCCGCAGCCTCTGGAAAGTGGGGCGGTGCTGGGGCGGGAAGGGTCTCACTAAGGTCACCGAATAGAGGCCACGCCCACGCTGGGACCAGCGCTCTTCAGACCCCTCCTCTCCAGCCCTGGATCTGTCCCAGAGACCTTCACGACACTGGGGAGCCGCCTATGTGCCCACCTTCAGGTCTATCTCACCTTCCTGCTTCTCCTGACCCCAGGGGAGGGAGGACAGCCACCGGCGTTGAATCCTGAGGTACCACGCCTCGGTATCAAACATAAACCCAAGATAATCCACCTGGAACGCAACCTACGAGGTTCAGAGCCAGTGCTCTAGGTGGGGAATTACAATTCCCGTCTCTCAAGTCAGCCAGTCTCCTAGTATTGGGGTGAAGGGGGGGACCATGCAACTTCTTAGAGGAATACTGAGCTCGCATTATTTAGACGGGATCTGGCCTCAGGCTCACAATTGCTCTGGTCAGGTCTCGGAAGTGCTGATATTACAGGTGGGGGCCACCAGCCCTATTTTTTTGCCTTTCCTTAAGAGGTCGGCGGCTGCAGGGTCCTGGGAAACAGATCCCCTCTGGCTGCATCAGCCACTGGCTCTATCCTTCACAGGAGCCCCGCTAGACAATTCCCATGGGGCCTCCTGCCTCCAGGTCTCCTTGCTGGCCCCGGCATCTCCTCGTCTCTTTCTTCTGCCAGGGTGGGGCCTCCAGGGCTCAGGGCCTCAGCTGAGCTCCCTTTTCTCTTGGCAGCTGCTAGAAGTCTCCACAGCTCCTGGCCTAGTAAAACCCTTCACTGCCTGACTAAGGGGGAGTTTTGATTGGCTCCAGCGGGGATGACCTCACCCTCCCCAGAATTTGGGAGTGTTCCCATTTTCCAAGCCCCACCTTTATCCAAGGAGTTCCCTTCTGGCCATCTTTTCTCGAAGGGCCACCTGGCTCAGTGGGTGGGCCTGAGTCTCGGAATTCCCCATCCCGTGGGGAAGGCAAGCGCGCGTCTCCTCCCCACCCATCACTCCTTCAGCAATGAATTGCCGCGGCTTTACCCAAGCTGTAGAGTCCCGGCACCTTATTCAGCCTCTTCTCCTCTTTCTGTTCTTAGCTGGCAAGAATCTGCATTATTTAGAACAATCTTGGGCTGAGGAGTTGGCTCAGAGATCAACAAAGTTGCTTCACAAGTAGGAAGACCTGAGTCTGGATCCCCAACACCCACATAAAAGCCTGGTACTGGAGGGCATCTGTAACCCCAGGATGCAGGGGCAGGAGAGATCCACCGAGGAAGATATCAATACCTACCTCCAGCTTCCACAAGCGCACCCACGGGAGTTCACACACGCACAGACACACGTGCACACAGATCATGACCGCCTGTGTGCTCCTTTGACACGCTCTGGTTTCATCTTCCCAGATGATGACCAAAGGCTTAACATCCCCAAGTCACAGACGAAGACATGAACGCTTGGAGAGTCTGAACCTGCTCAAGATGAGCAGGCGCCACAGTGGACTCAGGAGTCACTCTCCGCTGTGGGACTTCACGGCCAGAGCTCAGCGTTCTCACTGAGAAATGCCGCAGACTGGCCACGCGTGTTCAACCATGCACCCTGGAAGGACCAAGGACAAATCCCATCAGCCTTGCCTGGGGAGTGTCCCCAGAGCCTGACACTTGACCCCAGCCCTCAGCTAAGCCACTGGAGCTAACTGCAGGAGTCCGACAATGCCCATGACTGTCTCTACCCTGTGTGTCCGTCCGTTCTCCGAGCAGCAGCTGAATAGACCCCTAAAATGTTCAGGTTGGTCAGGTCTCTCCTGTGGTCAGAGCCCTCCAAAAGCTCCCGTCTGACTCAGAGGCCAAGCTAAGGTCCCTACGGTAGCCTGGAAGGTTCTCCACCACCTGCCTCTAGTACCGTGATCTCTGACGGTCCTCCTTATCCCGACCTCCCAGCCCCAGCTCCACGTGCACGGGTTCCTTCTTCTCCTGAACACTCAGCAAACGCCGGCATTTGCACTTGCCTGGAAATCCCTCACCACATAACCTCATGGCTTAGACCCTCAGTTCCTCCGGTTCTGCCCAAATGTCACATGTCACTGAGTCACTCCTGCTGGCTTTACCTCCTTCCAACAGGTGACACCACCATGTGACACTACTTTCGGTAAATTATCAAGTAGTTGTCTGCTCTCCTGTTAGGATGTGAGGGATGTTCTGCATGTGTAGGTTTTTTCCATGCTGGATTTCCACGTGTGTGGTGGTAATCTAATTGTACTGAAATGTGATTTTGATTGTATGTTAATAAATAAAGTTGCCCGGGGGTCAGAGCTATTAGAGCCATAGCAAGAGTGTGGCGGTGGTGGCACACGCCTTTAATCCCATAGATCTCTGTGTGTTCAGGGATACAGCCAGCATTGGAGACATATGCCTTTAAGACCTAGGGGGCTGTACATTCAGACAGTGACGAGGCAGTCACGTGTTTGGGTTTACAACCAATGAGAAGGCAGAACAAAATACTATAAATATACGAACAGACAGGATATAGCTCTCTTTCGGGAAGCTGGGACACCGCAGGAGGAAGGGTGAGATTTTAGCTCTGATCTCTGACCTCTCGGCTTTCTCTTTTACATTGTTTCTGTGTTTCTTATTTAATAAGACTGTTGGATACATCTACACACATGTACAATACTACTTGTCACATAGTAGGTGCTCAGTAAATGTGTATGGAGGAGGCAGAGAGAAAGAGGGTGATCTGAGGGAGTCTGGACGAGCCTTTGAGACAGATCAGCCAGGCCAGGCCTTGAGGAAGCTAAACCTTAGGTCAAGAAAGTCTTTGGCCTTTTAATGTGTTTTCTTTGAGCTTCAGGACCAAGAGTTAACAGAAGTCTCTAGCAGGGTAACAGCTGAGACGCTGGAGTTTAGAGCCGTGGAGGATTTCAGGACCATGTTCTTCGACGTGATGTGTGTGTGTGTGTGTGTGTGTGTGTGTGTGTGTGTGTGTGTGTGTGTGTGTTTTGTTTTTGCTTTGTTGTTGCTGATTCTTTTCTTTTTTTTTTCCTTTCTTTTTTTTTCAATAAGGTCTCACACTGTCCTGAGCTAGCCTTAGCTCAGACTTGTAGCAATCCCACTGCCTCTACCCCCGGGTGCTGGATCACAGGGGTGAGACACATGCCCAGCTGGGATGACGTTCTTAAGAACTACATCAGAGGACCTGGGGGAAAGAGGCAGGAGTGGACAGAAGAAAGGTCAGCTGCAAGTCCATCCCAGACGACCTCAGGTGACCCCACAAGGATTTTGGGAGCTAAAATGGTCCCTCAGCACAAGCTCTCTGCCTACACCATCCTCCTGGACTTTCAGCCTGCAGAACCGTGATACGATATATTTCTGATGTCTTCCCAGGCACGTCCACCTTTGACGTTGTGACTCAGGTGTCATCTACAAAGTTTATGTGTGAGGACTGCACAGTCCAGTTACAAAACCAACAGGCAAACTCCAGTCTTGAGTAAGTTTACAGTTCCCTCTTGTGCTGCATTCATAGCCTTCTTGGGCCGTGTATGAGCCACAGGTTAAACGTGCCTGCAAGCCACCCCGTCTGTGGCTCTGTGTAACAAGCCCGTCACACACACACTCAGGCACATCTTAAGCTCACTCTGGGAGTTCGTGCCAAACGGGTGATTTTGATGACCTCCCATGGCTGAGGCATTTGCACGTTCCTGGGTGTGACACACAGAGACCGGAGGACAGGGGATTGAACGTAGGTCATCAGGCTTGGTGTGGCGCATCTTTACCCCGGAGCCTTCTCCTCGGCTCTGATGGGAGCACGTCAAGCTCATAGCTGCAGTCAGATGAACTCTTGTGACCCAGTTGTCACCAATGATGCTTAATCCCAATTTAGCAAATTGATAAGATCAAGACAGGCCCCTGGAAATGCCTCTGTGTATATGTGTGTTGGAGGGGGGAGGTCTTAACTAGGTTAATTAGGATGGGAGAATCTGCCCACTGTGGATGGCACCATTCCCTGAGCTAGGGTCCTTGATTAGACAGAAAGGAGAAACCGGGCTGGAGAGATGGCTCACCGAAAGGTATTTGCTGCCAAGCCTGATGACCGGAGTTTGAACCCTAGGCTCCGCATGACAGAAGGAGAGAATCACCTTCCATAAGCTGTCCTCTGACCTCCATGTGCAGACTATAGTGTGTAGACACACACACACACACACACACACACACACACACACACACACTAATTTACCTTTTTTGTTTTAATAAGGAGAACGTGAACTGAGCCTAAGCATTCAGAACTCTCTGCTTCCTGGCTGCGGATGTCATGCAGTCAGCTGCCCCGGGCTCCTCCTCCCTGGATGTCCCCTCCATTACAGACTGTACCCTTGACCTGTGACCCAGAATAAAGCCTTTCTCCCTTAAATTGCTTCTATCAGGTATTGTCCCAGCAACCGGAAAAGGAAGTAAATTGTCACTCCTTTCCTGTCATTGTCCGGGATGAGAGGAGCCAGGCACAGTGGTCCGCCACTACTGCTGGGTACTGCCGGGCACTCAGAGGACAGGAAGGAGGCCACACAGTCTTCCTGAGAGCTGGGTTGACCCTGACGGTGAACCCCCCCACCCCACCCCACCCCCCACTCCCACCCCTGCTCCGGGCCTTGTAGCAAGCACTCAACGTGGGAGGAGAGGGCTGGGTCAGTCCAGATGTTGAAAATGATTTTTCAGTTAAAACAACAACAACAAGACCGTCAGGCTCGGCGTGGTGATGTAAATACAAGGCCTGTGATCTCAGCACTCGGTAGCAGAGACAGGGGACTGCCCTGAGTTCCAGGCCAGTTTTTGTTACAGCATGAAACTTTGTCTCAACATCAACAGCAAAAGGAAACTAAAAAGAAAGGAAAGAAGAAAAACTTAACCTAGGCTGAACTCCAAGGACTGCTTTGAGCGGCCCCCACCCCTCCTTCCAACCCCCCCATCCCTCCTCTTTCACCTCCCTCCACCCCCAACCCCTCCCTCCACTTCCCCACCCCCACTAACGCAAAAAGAAGGGAAGCCGGAGGTGAAGCATGGCTCCCTTTGAAGAGGAAGTGGGCCCCAAAAACTGGAGGTTCAATGCGTGCTGTTCGTAGCCTGTCCACTGCATCCAAAACTCGTGTGTGTTTCAACGTGGTGGGAAGACTTCCAAGTCCACTGCAGGCCCTGGTGTGACCAGTGTGTAAGGATTTGTGAAGGATGAGGAATGGTCCTCCACTGGGTTAGGGTCAAAGGCTTGGTCAGTCACAGCGGTGTTCAGAGGCGGGGCCCAGGGGAAGTGGTTGCCTCACGAGAACTCTGACCTCATCTCAGAGTTCCTCAGTCCAGGATACTCATGACCTAATGGCTCTTCTGGGGGGTGGGGGGGTTGGAAACTGTAGGAGGTGGAGCCCTGTTAGAGGCTGGTCCCAGGGAAGGGCCTTAGGAGGGTGTACTTTGTCCCTGTGCCTCCCCTTCTAGGTCACTGTGAGTTAGGCAGCCCCCTTGGCCACATGCTCCCACCATCACGATAGCCTCACCTCAGGCCTCAGACTGGGCAACCGTGAGAGCAAACCTCTGCGGCTACAAGCCTAGATAGATCAGTCCTCCTTTTAAACCACCCGTCTCTGGAATTCTGTCACACTGACGGAAATCTACACACACAATCCGAAAACAGCGAGTGTACTCTTAGGAATAAGTGCAGATTTGCTGTGCCTGGGGCCTCGGTTTTGTGATATACTCTTGGCTGTTTCGATGATGACTTTTTGCAGACGCCATCAGTGACAGCCTTTCGTAAGCTTTCCTGCTCACCCTAGATACCTTACAACCGACTCCCTCCTCCTCCTCCTCACAGCCACAGCCTACATCGTTCTGTTTGTATCTTAACAACATCTACCGCAACTCCAAGCTTTACAAATTATAAAGATGACTGCATCCGCTGCTTTTCTCTGACCGAATATGCGACAGGAGGAACTCAGGGAGGAAGGGACTCAGGTGGGTTCATGTGGAGAAGCCAGGCCAGCACTCACGGCTGGTGGGGGCCTACAGAGGAGGCGCTTGTGTTGGATGTAATGCCGGCCTGTAAGCCATAAAGGTCCACCCCTAGGGGCCCTCCTCTACCAGTCAGGCCCCTGCTCCAACCTTCCGAACCGGTGCCACCATCTGGGGGCCGAGTGTTCGAACACACGAGCCTGCAGGGAACACTTGGGATCCAAACCAGAACGGGGCCTTTTAAGTTTTTGAAAAACACAACATAACATTAAAAAAAAAAACAACTCTGAATCAAAAGCTCTTGGAGTCTTTTGTTTTGGGCCATTTTCTAAATGTGAGCACAGACATGTAGTATGTGTGTGAGAAGAACAGATGGCATGAAGTGTTTGTGGTCAAACTGGGCCATGTCTGAGCTTGTCTGGGAACACCACGGGACAGCGTGCAGGATCCGGGTGCAGAACGTGTGTCTTGCAAGTGGTAAGCAGACAATGCATCACTAAGCAGAGTGACAGTCTCGGCAGTCCTCAGACGTCATTTCTGCCATGGGAAGAGCACACGGAACTCGGCGACATGGAGCGGCTGGGGACGGCAGCTTCTGGAGTCTAACTCAGTTAAGCAAGTGTTTGTCAAACGGTTACTATGTGTGGGGCACTGTGCTCTGCCATCAGATAGCTGGCAAGCAAGCAGAGATGTCACACACACACACACACACACATACAACATACGCATATACACACAACATACGTACATGCACATATACACATACACACACATATACATACCCACATACACATAACATACACATACACACACATACACACACACACAACATACGCATATACACACAACATACGCACATACACACACATGTACACATACACACATACACAACATATACACATATACACATACACACATACACACACACACCATACGCATATACACACAACATACACACATGCACATATACACACACACACACACACACCATACGCATATACACACAACATATGCACATGCACATATACACATACACACACATATACATACCCACATACACATAACATACACATACACACACACACATACACACACACACACACACACACGCTTGTAATAAAGCACACAATGCATAGATACTGTCGGCTGTGAGAGGTGACCTGGACAGCAGGTAATGAGAGAAGCCCATGGCCACCCCTAGTGCGTCTCAGGAAGGAGCTGGGACCCGTGGGGCTTAGCCAGTGGTAGAGGTGGGGGGAGGGGAAGGAAACCTCAGGCATAAGGAAGAAGGTTGAGAGCATCTGGAATCAGAAGCCAGTCTGCTCAGCCTCGGGGAATGTGGACGAAGAGATCCTGGGGAGACAGCATGAGCAGGTGCACTGGGAACCCCAAAGGAGGGGAGCATCTGAACTCATCTGTTCTCTCACAGGATCCCCCAAGGGGTGCTCACCGTGGGCAACGACGCTAGAGGAGGCAGGCTGTAGGGGAGAGATTGCAGCAGCCTCGTTGAAGGTGACGGTGGGAACGGCGACCAGAGAGCCGATGTGACAGGAACCAGTCCTTGTCCTAAGCCTTACACTCACACTGTGTTTATAGCCGTGGAAGATGGACAGGGGTGATAGTGTGTGAGAGGCACAGTCGTAGATATGTGCACAGGTATCGGAGGGTTACCAAAGAGGGGTTAGTCACGGCTGGCAGGTGGGTGTGCGTGTGTGTGTGTGTGTGTGTGTGTGTGTGTGTGCATGAGTGTGCATGTGTGTGCATGTGTGTGAGTGCATGAGTGTGTGCCTGAGTGTGAGTGTGTGTGCGTGCCTGTGTGTGAGTGCATGAGTGTGTCTGTGTGTGAGTGCATGAGTGTGTGTGTGCCTGAGTGTGAGTGCGTGAGTGTGTGTGTGTGTGTGTGTGTGTGTGTGTGTGTGTGCCTGGCTCAGTCAGTTATAGCCCCTGTTGGTGATGCTGGTGCAGGCCTGGGAAAGGGCTGGTGGCACTATGATTCACAATGGGCCTGGGACCCAGCAAGCCTCACTTGATGCTACAGTATCTACTATAGGAGCCTTCCGGGAGGCCCGACAGGGTGGAGACCGCCAGGGTCAGAAGGACAAACGTCCCTGGCTGAGGAGTAGGCCGGAATAGGGAGAGCTGGGATCTGGAAACGTGGGTGTGCTATTCTGGAACGGAGGGAAGAGTGAGTGGGAGACGCGGCGGCAGGGATGGATTCGAGGCTTGTAGCATGACCTTGTGAAGACCGGACAGAAACCCAAAGATGTGATAACCACTGATAGCCTCGTCATTCATACACATGCACACACGCACGCTCGCACACATGCACAAGCACACTCAAACACACATATATACACACATGCACACACAGACACACACACACAGACACACACACACACACACATACGTGCACACCCATACAGACACTCGAGAAAACACACATACACATGCATGCGCGCGCATGCACGCACGCACGCACACGTCAGCCACACTATCTTTAGGTCACAGATACCCGTCTCCCACCTGGCCTTTGCGTGCTTTTCCATCCTTTTTCTGTTATTAGGTCCCAGTTGCCACTGTAACAAATTACCACACCAGTGGCCTAAGGCAGCGCGGATTTATCACCTTACACTTCAGAAGCAGGTCAGCAGGACACACTCCTCTGGAAGCCTGAGGGAAGAATCCATTGCCTCACTTTTCCTCCTCAGCGTCTTCTTGGTTTATGGCCCCTTCCAGACACGAAACTGTGGCATTTACAGATGTCATTTCTTCCTCTCTGCCGTCTCCACCAGCATCACCTGCTCCCATTTTACAAACGAGAACATACATCGCTTGAGCGTTGGTTAACCGTGAGCTGCACGAACGATGTGAAGGAAGAGAGCCTGAGACAGGGACAAGTTGTGACCGTGTGCTAGACCCCGGGGCAGCCCAGAGACACTGCAGAACACACAGGAGGGAATTCCTGCCCCAACGGACCTTGGTGCCCCGTAAGGGCGACTGGACACGAAGCAAGGAAGACGCAGTTAGACAGGGCACCAGTCACTGGGGGACCAAGGAGAAGTCGCTCTGTGCTGACCCCACAGTGTCCAGGGCCAGGGCTCCCTACAGCTGAATTTGGTGTGGCGATGCTAACTCCAGGAGCCAGGGTTTCTTGCTTGCTTTTGTTTTTGAGATGCATCTTGCTCTGTAACCACAGCTGCCCTGGAACTCACCGTGTAGCCCAGGCTTTCCTTAACTTGAGACCTTCCTGCTTGTGCTTCCTAACCACAGAGGTCACAGGTGTGTGCCGCCAGACCCAGACTGGAAGCAGCCGGACAAGGCCACTGGCTTTCAAGCTTCACCTAGCTAAGCAACCTTTTATTCAAGCAGGGTCTGCAGCGAAACCCACATCCAGAGTATCAAGCATTCTAGCTC